CAGTGTGAGATTTCCGGACCGATAGCCGAGCGGTATTTTTATCAGCAGTCTGAGGTGAGTCTTCTCACTATATCAATGGTTCGAAGGCACCAATGTCTGCCCATTATCTGATATGTGAATTGGTAGTTGTTATACATCTAATTTTTTAAAGACCCTGGGGGTAGCCCGTGGCACTTGTATGAAGACCATGGTGGTAGCCCATGACACTTGGGTATCAGACCATGGGGATAGCCCATGGCATTCCAGGTAAAGACCATGGGGGTAGCCCATGCACTTGGATATCAGACCATAGGGGTAGCCCATGGCAAGTTTATGTACGATGCATGGTATTTTGTGGTTGTATGTTATATGATATTTTGGGAACTCACTAAGCTCTTGCTTACAGTTTATTTGGGTGTTTTTAGGTACTTCCGGTACTAAGGGGAAGGGCTCGGCTTGATGGCGCAACATTCACTCTCCAACACTTTCCGTATTTATCTATTTTGATACTCTGATATTTGATATGATATGATGTAACGGGTTTTTGGGAACAAATTATGATTGTATTCCTATTTTCAAAAAGGGAAAATTTTATCTGGTTTTCGGGCTATTACACCCCGCGTACAAAGTGTATGCCCAACGTACTAAGGCGCGGGCGCTCAACGTACACACACGTACGCACGGTGTACTCATCTGGTCTAATTTCCACCAAAAGCGACTTTGGGCCCCTTTTCACTCTTTATCAACTTATGGACCAAAATGCAACATACGAAAATCATAAAGCCCAAGATTAGAAGTACCTTAACATCAAGATGTTACACAAACCCATATTAAAGGCCTCTACGGCAAGGGCCATGTCAATGTTTGGTATGTTTAGAGCTTCCCTACCAAACCTGCTTACAAAGTCCCTTAAGGATTCTTTGGGATCTTGGACCACCCGGTAGAGATCACTAGTGATCCTTTCAAATATTATGCTGCATGAAAACTGATTATTAAAAAGATTAACTAAATGAGAAAAATAGGTAATAGAATAAGGAGGAACATTAAGAAGGCCTTTTATGGTTGATCCTATAAGATTCGATCCGAAGCTTTTGCATAAACAAGCTTCTTTTAAGTGTGGTGGAATGGGAATGATCTCCATTCTCTCCTTATATCGTGTGATATGTTCTTCAGGATCCGTGGTTCCATCATAAGGCTTCATGATAGGAGTTTGGAAGCGCTTAGGAACTTTTGTATCAGCTATTGAGGGGATAAATCTTGAGATCATATGACTGGTGAGGGATGCTTCCGGTATAGGTTGGACCACCCCTGGTACGTTTGAGATCATCTCTCTTAGTTGTTGGAGTTCTTTGGCTATAATTGGACTTATTCTTGCATCAAGATCCGCAGAGTTAGTATTAATAGTGTTATCATTAAAGAAGTTATTGATGTTTGTGTTATAAGGGGTATTGAAGGTCTCATCAAGATCCTGGGTCACAGGGGTTTGGATGTTTGGGATTGTTCTCCCTGTTGGGGTAGCAATGGATGTTGAATCTGCCGATTCTGGGCGTTTCCCCAGGGATCCTGCATTGTCGAAATTCAGGATCCTTGGTTGTAAGATTGAGGGTGTGGCCTCCTAAGGTCTTCGGATCTCTGCCCTTATCCTTTCCACTTTCTTAAGCATCATTATGTTGTCTTCCTGTTGCTGAGCCACCTATCGTGTCAATGTCTTCATCATGGAAAAGAGTCCGTTCTTAGAGACCGAGGCAGGAGTATTATGGGATCCCAGGGACCCTGGAGCAACCAGAGGAGTATTCTTCTTTGCTATATCGGAAGTTTTCCTCTGACCAAGGAGTCCTCTTGGAGGAGGTGGAAGATTTTTCGGACGAACATAGGGAACAAAATAAGAAGAAAGGGTTGGTTTTGTAGACATGATTTTCGAGGATTACAAACACCACACCCCCCATGGTGGGCCCCAAATTGTTTTGGTCAAAAATAAGTCGAGTGAATATTAAACAAATTGTATGAGATGCTTTGGGGTTGTTGGTGAAGTGGTTAACAAAATTGGTACAAGATTACACAAGTGGTTTACAAGGAAAACCCTTGATCCTTGCTAGGATTTCCACCCAAAATTTTGGGAGGTGATAATGATCATTTGCCTTGTTTAATTGTATTGATTGTAATATGAATTACAGAGATGAAAGTAAGTAAATGAGTACAAGTATTGCAGTGAGTCTATGTGTCTATAGTGTACGAAGTACATGTGTATTTATAATCTAGTCTAAGTAACAATAAGTTCAATATTTTCGGGATCCTCTTAAATAAAAATGAACATGTTGGCTTGACTTGGTATTTCCAGGTCTTTTGCCTGGTAAAAACATTTCTTCGTTGAGAATGAGTTTTATGTTGACTAATTCTACACATGTGGGAAAAAAACTAGAAATATATCTGTTAGAAACGTTAGGACGAAATAATAGTAATGATAATGGTCAGGATCCTGAGATATATAGTAATATATATGGTCAGGATCCTGAGATATATATATATATATAATATATATATATATATTATATATATATATATTATATATATAATATATAATCTTATCTATATATATATACTAGATGTGTGTCCGCGCAAAGCAGCGGCGATAAATAGTTTTCTGGGCGAATAGTTTTGTTACGTGAAAATAATTATTAGATTTTGTTATTAGTTATTATGTAATAAGAAAAATTACCACTTTTAATTAAAATATTTATGTTTAGAACTTATATTTATATTGTATGTTTATACGTTTGATGCAAATTAATTACTATCGGCATCTAGTTTAAGAAATGTAAATTAACTTATATTGATGGATTTAATATTTTAAAATTGTTATTTTGCTCCAAATTAATTTTTTCATAGCCTTCCTTAATTCAAGTCTTTAAAGTTTTGGCAAGTATTAATGGTTTTGTTATGCATAACTAATTTGTACAAAAAGCTTTGTATCTTGTACCTCTTAAAATTAAAGATATGACTAATATGTTATATATATATATATATATATATATAATATATATATATATATATAGAGAGAGAGAGAGAGAGAGCTAGGTTCAAATGTGGATGAACATATATTGTGTTGACGTGTGGACAGTGTTATTTTGTGAGAATGACAAACAAAATATGTTGTTTAATAATATGAATACGTTCAATCTTACATAATTATTGTCATTATCACACATTCTCACTAATTAAATCGTCTATAAGGTTATTATAGACTTTTTATTATTATTATCATTCTTTCAGAATGTTTATTGAGTCGTGTTCTGTCATAATGATAATGAGTGAAAAACGATTTGTGAGAACAAAAATGAATAAGAATTAGTGAGAATGTATGAAAATGACGATATTTTTGTAAGGTTGAACGTATTTGCATTACTAAACAATGTATTATGTTAGTAATTCTCATAGAATCGCATTGTCCACACGTCCACACAATAATTGTCCATCCACATTATAACATATATATATATATAATATATATAGAATATATATATATATATATATATATATATAATATCTATATATATATATTATATATATATATATATATATATAACGGCTAATTGTGATGTCACCTATCAGTGGAACAAAGAGTGTAAAAAAGACACGAGCACACATGATGGTCACTCATGGCAAGAACAATAGTGCATTATTATTCTAATCACCAATTTTAGTAGTTTATTCTTCTGAAAAAGTAATGTTTCCTTATAATTGTAAAAACTATAATACTTATATCAAAGAAACATACTCGTCGGTATAATTACAAATTTTATCTAATTGATCATGATTATAAAGTTTATAATTCTGTTTAACATTTCATAGTTTCTAATTTGTACGAGACGTATCTATAAAATCTTAGATATTGTTAATGATATCATAAAATATGATTTGACGTAAGAACTTGTTAGTGAAGTTTTTGTTTCGGTGGGGATCCTATCACGAATTCAAATGATTAATTAGCAATCCAAATATATCACGAAAAATATCGAATAATTAGTTTCATAAAATAAGTGTAAATGAAAATGCAATATAATGACTAAGATAAAGCAAATGAAAATGCAAATAAACAAACTCAAAGACTAGATCAATTAATGTGTTTCTACCACCACGGGGATGGTGTATGTCGACGAAGGAGAAATGAACGTCTTATATGTTGATCAATTCAAATCGGGGGTTATAGATCACTTATAATGTGAACAAAAGAAGGATAGAAAGAGCTTAATCTTCAAGAAAATTATATGGCAAAAACTAGGGCTTAGTATGCCCATTGGGGCCAATATAATCTCTCATGAGTTCCAAGTGATTTCATCCGATTTTCATGAGGCCAAGTTGAAACCACCTAGAACAATCAAACATGAAACAAAATGCTCCTCTCATAGATGAAACGTAGTAGCTTAGACCATCAGGTGGACAATTCTTCTCCAACTTTGTTTTTTTCCAATTTATGAAACGGTTGCGTATCATCAAAAACAACAGTTCAATCATTCATGAGCATCAACATTTTCCGCTTATATTCAAATCTCATCGATACTATTAGAACTTAGATAGGTACACTCTTTATTTTTTTTTATCGGTAACTATAATTTACGAAAAAATTTGATTGAAAACTTAGCATATATAAACTTTCCTTTATTAATTGAAAAAGGGTTCAATTCCGTCAAAAGATGAATTTGTTAAAAACGTTGAAACATAGTAAAGATGTCCTTCAAGTTGTCAATTACATTACCCCATATCTTGTTGCGTGTGTAGTCTTTGCTATCAACTTCGTTCTCTTTCGTGATTCTAACTAGTAATTACAATTAGAAATTTCAAACATTGAATTAGTTAGTATGGTAGTATTAATAACGTTTTTGTTATAAATCTGTAATCTTAATATTGTAAAATATTTATCCACAAGAGAAAAGTCTTTCCATAGAATTAGAAAGAAACGAAGAGAAAACATTCTTAAAATTCAACGATCTGTGTTAACGTTTACGCGTAGGAAGAGGGATGACTATAAATACACCCATTACCACAAATGATACATGAACACGAACACGAACACCCTTGTGGCCGCCTTTTATTACGCCTTTTTCCACTCTCCGCTTTCCACCCTCTTTTTAAATTCAATATTATTTCTAATCCCTTCATTCCAACGCCCAAATCCACTCCTCCTATCAATCTACCGATTTTCGATCCTTAATTTCACGTTTCGTTTCTTTTGTTTCGATTTCGAGATTCCCTGTCTTTTGTTGCTTTGGTGATCACTAATTAATTTATTGGATGACAACCGGTGGCGCCACCCCCATATCCACCACCGGCAGTCCACGATTCGGGGGTGTATCAGCCCACCGCCGCCGTGGCTTGGAACAAACAAACGATGTCGCGGCGGCATCCACAGACTCCGACGCTGTCAACAACAACGTAATTGGAATGGGAATGGGACACCCCATTCATCTTCATCAACAGCAACAACAGCAACAGGAAAAACACCGGCATCAGAACATCAACGACTGTATAGCGGAAGCTGCCGTTGATTGTTTTCGTAGCTACACCGCCAACCACATCCAGGTTCACCATAACAGTAACAATAATAACGTCAACCGAAAAGGGTCGATTGAGGTTCGTAATTATGGAAAGCTAGGGAACAATCTCCGGCGCACGGTGCTCGGAATTCTCATTCTTCTGGTGGGTTTAAGTGTTTTTGTTAAGTTTTCATACATGGCCGTAACCAATGTGGCGGAGATGGAGGTGGAGGTGGTTGGGAGGAGAGCTTCCAACGCCCAAATGTTGATTTTGAGGGACTATAAACGCGATATAATCAAGGCTCAAAGAGCTTTAGCAGACATTGTTTCTTCAACATCTTCCATGCCCAAAAGGGTGTATGAGAAGTCCCTTTACAATCCTGTAAGCTTGCTTATTAACCTTTCAACTTAAACCATGTATAACAACAATCAACTAATTCTCTTATTATTATTTTTTTTAATTCAGTTAAAAAATTATTTGTCAATTTATTCATTAAATTGGGGCAAATATTATTTTTTCTGTATTGACATGGTTTTATTCAAAATATCAGTAACTAAATAATCCAAACAAAATAATTTGTTATATACCTTAAAGAAAATCAAAAAATGAAATTTTATTTTAAATTGAAAAACAAAAAGAGTATATATTTATATTTCCTGATTTATCTGTTGAACAAATGATTTATTGTAGTTCTGCTTTATATACAAAAATCAAAACACAATATAGTTCTTGGGTATAAAAATGCCATACGTAGAAAAGAAAAGACAATAAAAGAAGGTTAAAAAAGTCATTTGATATTATAAAGTAATAAATTTTCCGTTACCGATTGACCCATAAAATAAGTGATGGGCAGCCAACATATTCAATTGGTGGAATGTTTTGTCATTTGTGCGTTTGACAAAACACATAAACCAAACCGCGTGAAAACCCAGCCCACGTGTATCTTTTTGTTGACCGTTGGGCAGCTGTTTACTTAAAGTACCGTTTTACCCTCGTTCCATACCAGTTTCTACTTTTGAGTCTAAAAAAATCAAGGAACAAGCAGTCAAATAACAAATAGTATAGTAGCCATTTGTAACCTCATAAATACTTGCTATTGTGTTATTTAGATCTTATTTAAGCTTATATTTTAATTACTTGTATAAATAATTTATAAATTGTAACAACTTATTTTGTTTCTTTAGGCCCCAGAAATCTGGATGAAATCAAACAGCAGTCGCTATCATCAATGCATTGCTAGACCTCGGAATCAAAGCAGTAAGTCACGATTATTTTAGGCTTTTTAGTTGTAAACAAATTATAATTTTGTATATTTACATCCGACTAAAATAGATAAACTTATATTTATTTTCAGTGATAATTATTTATTAATTTCTGGAAAGATATTCTGATTTTTTATTTTACTTTTTAGAGAGCAGCTCCATAACAAACGGATATCTTCTCGTTCATGCCAACGGCGGATTGAACCAAATGAGGACAGGGGTGAGTTCTTATCCCTCCAACTTTATTATTTTTAAAATTCTTACATGTTACAATTTTTTCTATTTTTAGTAAGGGTTAAACCAATCTTAATTATTATTATATATCTCAGATATCTACTTTTAATAAAACCAACCTTATTTATAACGTCAGATATGTGACATGGTGGCTATCGCCAAGATGATGAATGCCACTCTCGTTCTCCCATCTCTTGATCATCAATCTTTTTGGACAGATCCCAGGTAAAATCTCGATCAACTTTTACTCTATCATTCAACTTTCAATCAGAGTAAATAACTCACTAATAAGTAACTGTCTAACTGATGTCACATTTCGTTTTTCTAGTGATTTTAAGGACATTTTTGATTGGAAACATTTCATCAATGATTTGAAAGATGATGTTCATATTGTCGAGTCTTTACCACCAGAATACGAAACTCAAAAGCCATTTGACAAGGCTCCAGTTTCGTGGTCAAAGGTATATATATACATCAATATTTGAAGCCATGATATAAAAATATATTAAAAAAATAATAATAATCTAAAGTTTTATAATGTTTTAATGATTTAGGCAAGTTACTATAGAGGGGAAATGAGACAATTATTACGAAAACACAAAGTGGTGAAATTTACTCATTCCGATTCAAGGCTGGTCAACAATGGTCTCCCGTCGTCTTATCAAAAGCTCAGATGCCGTGCAAATTACCAGGCTCTTCGTTACTCAGATGAGATCGAAAGCCTCGGTAAAAAACTCGTTGCTAGACTAAGAAGCGATGATGAACCCTATATCGCTTTACATTTAAGGTATCAAAAACCCCAAGTGATTAATTTAATTTGTAACATAAAGAATGAATGAATGAATGAATTCATGCGAATTTGCAGGTATGAGAAGGATATGCTTGCATTTACAGGCTGCAGCCATAACCTAACAACAGAAGAACATCAAGAACTTGAAACAATGAGATATAATGTGAAGCATTGGAAAGAAAAAGACATCAATGGCACAGAAAAGAGACAACAGGGAGGGTGTCCAATGTCACCAAGAGAAGCTGCTTTGTTCCTAAAAGCCATGGGGTACCCCACAAACACCAAAATCTACATAGTTGCTGGTGAAATCTACGGTAATAAAAGCATGGATGCCTTCAGAAGCGAGTACCCAAACGTCTTTTCACATTCTACCCTTGCAACCCCAGAAGAGTTAACCACCCTTAAACATTTTCAAAACCGGTTAGCCGCCCTCGACTACATCGTTGCACTTAAAAGCGATGTGTTTGCTTATTCATATGATGGGAACATGGCTAAGGCGGTTCAAGGGCACCGCCGGTTCGAGGGTTTCTTGAAAACGATTAGCCCTGACCGGTTAAACTTTGTCAGATTGATTGATCAGTTTGACAAAGGTGAGATTTCTTGGGAACTGTTTTGTTCCCAAGTAAAGCTCATTCATAAGGACAGGATCGGTGCACCTTACAAAAGGAGGCCTGGTCCGTCTCCGAAATTGGAAGAGAGTTTTTATGCCAACCCTTTTCCCGGGTGTATTTGTGGTGTTTCAAAGAAGAAAAGCAGTCATGTACTGCCCGAACAAAAACCGGGCAGTGGGAATTCGCTTCGGTCACCTAAATAATCATTTTTTGGTGTCGGTTGTACAGTAATTAACACGCGTATAGAGGGTAGCCCCGTGACATATGATTAAACGTTGAAATTTTTTGAAAAAACGTAGATTTTAGGAACAAGGCGAATACGGGTTTGGACAGAGATGAGTAGCTTATTTTTTTTTTTGCTTACGTTGTTTTACAATTTAAAAGGTATTAAGAGTATTGCACATTCATTTTGCTATTTTTTTCTTTTGCGAAACTTGTTCTACAATGTTGGGAACATAAAGAATTAAAGATGGTTTTAATTTGTTAATGAGAGAAAAAAGAAGGACACGATGCCATTAGGCTTAAGGACCAGTGTTAGGACGATGACTCGGGACCGGTTCTTTAATGCATCTCTTGTCATTGTTTTGCTACATGTCAAATGACATTGACCCCACGACAATGGACTAAACCAGGTACAGAGGTCCCTCCAAGAGTCTACCCATCCATCTTCATCTCTTTTGTTTTGGATTAGACTGTGACTAATATCAACTGCACAAAAATTACAGTATTTTGTCAAATCTAAAAAGATCAAATAACTGTATGACATGACAAAATATGACAATCTTATATGTTGCAACCGATGTGGTAATATAAAAAATTGTTGTTTTTTGTCCCGTACAAAAAAAAATGGAATATGAACCATTCCACGATAGTTTAGGTAATAATTTTTTCTCTAATTACTAAATTATTGACTTTTGTGTTAAAAAGATCACTATATTAACATTTTTATGCCACTCTGGATACTATGCTTACAGTTTTTATGCTAAGAAACACCCTAACTTGCAAAGAAATTAGTTTGTAACCCAAATTAACAAAAATATGAAATTGGTTGTCAATTAGAATTAGCCCATTTAAATAATGTAAAGTGCGTACTTTCCAGATCAGAAGCAGCACTTTGTATCTCTGGTTATCAAGTAAGAAACAAGTTACATGTTAAAGCTAATAAAACACAAAAAGCATTCACTATTCAAATGCCACTAAAACACTATCTTGGATTTCTTTATGTGATTTGAGGCCAACATCTCAATTAGATTCTTTTTTAAATGAAAAAAGAAAACAATATGCTACCAAAAAAAAACCCATCATCATCTTGTGCATAACATAATTAGAATTTAGAAACAAAACAAACACTAGATTCAGAAGATTTAATAACTGAAATTTAGTAACACGATAACAACAAACAGTTACAAGATCACCACAAGCAAAATCCATTTACAATTCACAAGAAATATGGAATAACATCTAAACAACTAGTGAAATGCTTCTTTCTTACCTATTGCTTCTCATTTGATGAGGATTTATTAAGAACCACATGTTTCATAGCATAATCTTCAGGGGCAATCGGCCGTCTTTTTGCAAATATTGTCCACATAAACATACCAATAAAGCTTCCTAATGCTCCTAATCCGATTCCAAGTATGAGGGCAGAAAGAATCCTCATAACACAATCACTTTTCTTATGAATCTTGATCTCATTTTCTTCCCTTTCTTTGAAAACCATAGGATCCAAAGGTTCAGAATGCATCCAATCTGGTGATTGCCTTGTTTTAAAGCTCCATGAATACAGATTACAGAGTTGTGAAGAGTTCCCATTTGATGAAGTTAACCCCACGAAAAAACCCTCATTTCCAGGCCAGATTTTAGCCAAATCAATTCGATGGAATAACAACGGGTCAACAGGACGGGTTTCACCATATCTATTCAATCTAACCTCCAATCGCCTTGAACTTGATTGGTAATCGATCCAAACTTGCAATCGATTACCACTTTTGAGTCCCAAATTGACGGAAGATAAGTTCATTGCTTTCAACGACACAAAACTAGATAAATCGATCCCGATATGATTCTCATTCATATCACCATACTTATCGTCCATCGATGTGTCAAATTCGACACTTAAGAACTTGAAATTATCCCCATTTGGCAACCCGAATGACCCATTATCGTCGAACAGATCCACGGGATACCCATCTGAAAACACAACAAAAGCTAAACCATCTCCATTTTTCGAGTCCGGCGAAATTGAAAACGAGAAGTATGTGGAGAGCGACACCAATTTCTCGGGGATTCCGCCATAGAACTTGATGGGGTTTTTGTAAATCACTCGACCAGCACTAGAAACTGATGGAGCAGTGAGTTGTAGAGAAGAACCATCGTTAACAGCTTTTGCATCACCATAAAGTGCAAGAACAGACTCAAAACTTGAATTCCAACCAAAATTCTTGAAAGAAAAAGACGAATTGGTGTCTGCGAGTAGGGATTCGAAGGAAAGGGTCAACAAAAAGAGGATTATGAAGTACCTTGAGCTGGGAAATGCGGCCATGCTTGTAAATGAAAATTTTTCTTGTTTCTGAACTTTAAAACGGAATATATGAAGAACCCATTGAGGAATTAATGCTAGGGTTTGAGGATTGAGGATGATAAACTTGTGGGGAATGGTAGAGAGAGAGAGAGAGAGAGAGAGAGAGAGAGATTGGAGGTTGTGAAAATTAAATATGGGGATTTATTTGAGTGGGTTCTGCTACTGCAGGGGTCTCTGATTCTCTCTCACTTTTTGTTCAGTGGTTGCTGACTTGGGAGTAGAAGAATAAAAGGGTGGTGGGGTGGAATCTTTTTACTACAATGTCCTCACCTTTCTTTTATTTACACTTTGCTACCTCCAATCTCACTTTCCTTTCATTTAAGACCACCTCCGAATTCGGCAAATCTTTAAAACATATCGAATCCTCTTTTTGTTTTTCTCTCTTTCTAAAAAAGAATAGAAATAAAGGTTGGCAGATGTTTAATTTAGTTCATAGATACAAAAGACAGAATTAATATTCAAAGGTAAAATATGTTTCTTATTTGAATGGTTAAAAGACAACATTTATATACAATATATTGGAATTAGTTGTAAAAGAATATCAAAGGTCATGGAGGGACAAAAGAATCTTCGTTGATTCTCATACCTTAGTTGTTGTAGTTGTTACGAAGATATGTATTTACATACATCTTTCTAATTCAATATGATAGTTCTTTACTTGGTTCATGTTATCATGTACATATACATATCTTTGGATGTGTATTTTCAGTTAAATATAGTGTAGTGTCTCAAAAAAAGAGATAACAACATTAATTAAGTGATCATCACTATATTCTAACTTTTTATACAAAAAAATATTTAATTTTTTATGTTCATAAAATACATATCACATATGATACAAGTACATAAAGTACCATCTATAGTTTTATCCTTATACCCATTGTATTTGTAGATCAAATGAATTTATTCACCATCAAATGTAAAAATTAAATTTAAAAAAAATATATATCTATAAACAGCAACTCTTTGTAAGTATTACCGTAAAATGAGTTGATTACAATAAAATTTACTTTACCGGGTTTTTTGTAAATACGGAAAGTGAAGTGGCATATGTGCAAAAACTGTAACTCTGTAGGGGACAGCTGTTACTAGGATACGTAGAATAAATTGAAAACTTTACTTTTTCCCTTTATTTCACGTGAATTTTCCATTTAAAATTGTTAATTGTTGTTGGAAGAAAACGAAAGGAGCACAAAAGAATATGTGGGTGGTCGGATGCATAGGTTTACTACACATGAAATTAACTAATTGTATTTTTCTTTTGAGTAAATTATACGAATAGCCCTCGTGTATTTGTCAAAAAATACATTTACTTTTTATTTTCAAAAACAAACTGGATGGTCATTCATAACATAAAATGTTGCATGGTTAGTCTCTAACAACGTGATCATATTATCCTTTTTATTTATTTTTTAAATTTCTAATTAGCTTTATCTATTAAGAAACATTTTAATTAAATTAGTGGGTCTCATTTAATTCCTCTCTCTTCATTTGACTCCAATTCTCACGGACCCTTTTCCATTGTCGTCCCCGTTAGGGTGGCCAACCCTTTTTTATATTGGTGATTTTAGTGTTATAAACATATTTTTGTGTAATTATTATTAATAATGAAATAGGTCGAACTCCATTTATTAACCGAGTTTGAAGGTGTGGGGTGCACACTTGGTGTAATAAATGTGAACTCAGGAATATGGGGGTCCGAAGGCAGTGCCCCTGGGTGCGGGGTTCCAAGAGGCTGCAACCCCTTGGCGGTGGTGTAGGTATCGATTGTGTCCAATAACTACCATGTTTTGGCGTCATATTTGGTTTAACCGATTCTAACCACTTTTTCCTCTAGTATAAGAACTTTTCTCTGGTTTCGGTAAAAGGGTTGAACATTCATATACTTGAACTTATATCATGATTTCTCTATCTCTCAAGAACACATCAAGCAAGGTATTTTGTGTTTTCAATCTGATTTAGGCTTGTAATTCAGATTGGTTTATTCTTAGATTATCCCACTTCTGAATTCATGTACCCCAGGTAAAAGGGATGAATTACAAATTTCAGAAAGTGTTTGATAAACACGATTCTTGAATCTATCTAAGTCTATATTTATTGTTATTTTGATCCCTTTATTTTCTAACATTTCATCGCCTTCAATCCAACTATACAAAACCCTCCCCAAAAAAGCTTCAAATTTGCAGACAATATGGAGATGGAGATGGCGAATATCGATCCAATAGGAATAGACGGAGTTTGTATGACCTAAAACGTCTGGCCACACATGAAAGTTGAAGCAACAATTATGTGATTCCAATCGCCGCCTCGATCTCGTCGATATGTACTCACCCCCTTATCCCTACGCCTGGATCGGGTGGTTACTCTTCAATGAACCTTCAACGATGGAAACCACCTCCTTATATCTATCTATCTATCTATTTATCTATCTATCTATCTATCTATCCATCTCTCTCTCTCTCTCTCTCTCTCTACGTCCGCCACCTTGGCACCATCATCACTGCGTTAACCCTAGGCACCTCTTATTTTTTCGACGAGAGGTAGTGGATCTGCACTCCGACGAAAGGCTAGTAGAGAAATAACCCTTTTACCATCTACTCCTTCCACAGCCAGGAAACCTGCAACTCTGGTTGTCTTCTCCTCCATGACCTTGGTTGTCTTCTCCTCCCTGACCTTCTAAATTACCTTTTAGATATGCACTCTGCAATGGTGGTTTCTTGTTGTCTGATTCGTTTAAATTATTTTGAACCTTAAAAGGGTCTTCATTAGAATGACTGGAATGAAGAAGAATCCCTACTGAAACAATACCAATCCATTCCACTTTTTGGATCTCATCAAAGTGTTCTAAACTATGCATGTTACTATCATTAGCAAACATAACAATTCCATATGGTTTCTCTTTTATCGCAACTCTAAATCGTTAAGAATTACATCTATTAAATTTTGATCTTGGATTTGAATTCAAAAATAATATGTTATGATAACCTTAAAGCTTACAATCATATCTTGGATTCCAACTTGTAACGAGCATTCCAGAAAATGGGCTATGTAAACATCCTAAAAGTTTAAGACTTGGTTCTGAAATTAATAAAGTAAATAAATGAAAGATGAACTAAATAAATAAATTATTATGGAATAATCATATCATTAATTGATATGCAGTTTAGAAATTTAGAAGTGAAAATTATAACATCTTAAAAGTTAAAGGGTCATTTGTGAGAATCGGGTGAGACCTAGGTTTGACAAGAGATTTTACCAACTTAATAACTTGGACTAAGTTTGTGAAGATTAGGATCGAGAGGTACCAATTTGGAATTTAATTAGAGATTCTAGTTAGTTTGGAGTTATTTTGAAAGAGCTTTTGTAAGGAAGGACCAAAAGTCGCAAGTTGGGAAAGTTTAAAGCTAGTTAATCGGTCTTCTCTCCCATTTTCTTGGAAAGAACGTGATTGAGAGAAATGGAGAGGGAAATGGCGATTTCTATGAAGCAAAGGAAGATTTAGAGTCATTGTTGAGGAATCAAGCTAGGAATTGAAGATATGAAGCAACATCAAACTTGAGAGGTATAATTTCTCATCCTCTAACTCTATATTTCGAATTCAAGGTTTGGGTAAATCCAAAATGTTGAAATTAGTTTGATTCCTTGATTCGGGTTTTGGTTTCTAACCTCCCCTGAGTTGTTTTGATGATCCCAATCTCAATCCAATCATCGCATTGATGGATTTGAGGATTTAGGTGAAAACCCTCATGAACCCTAGAAATTCAAATTGGGGACTTCATGTTTATATGTTAGATTGGTGTAACATCTTGATTTCCAGGTATTTCATTTTTTACCATTGATTTGAGTATGGTTTACAAATTTAGTCCCCATGGGAATTTTCATAAATTTTGGGCAATACTTGCATACGATGGGCGTACGTTTCGTACGCTGGGCATACGTGGCCAGGGTGTAAACCCTAAATTTTAGGGTTTGGACCTTATTTAAGCATCCTTATAGTCCCATACCATTCCTTAACTCCAGCCTCCATCCCTATTTTGAAACCCTAAAGTGTGTGAATGTGTTTTGAAGCTTGGAGAGTCATTTTGGTGCCATTTTGGTGCTCTTGGTGGTGAAGGAGGAACCTTGAAGTTGTGGTGCTTCACTCAAGACTTTGGATCCAACAACTTCTCTCTTTTTGCATCTTCTGGAGGTATAAAGCCCAACCTTGATGAATATTTCATTAAGATCTAGTTTTAGCTTAAAGTTGGCACCTTTTTGTCCCAAATATTGATCATGGTGAGTATGGCATACTCCAGGACCTTTGAGTTGTCCTTTAAGATGTTTTGGGGTGTGATGAGTCATAAAAATATGATCTTGGACATTAGTTTCTTTCTATGCATGATTTAGGTTGTCTTAATGGGTCAAGAAGCTAGGGTTTTTGATGTTGAGGTCTTATCAGCCATGTAAAACCGTAAAGTTGGAAACTTTATGGTTAAGAACACCTTTTAAGGGCTAGATCTGTATTTTGGACAAAAGAGCTTAAGGATTAAACTATTAATAGGTTGAATGGGTGGAAACCGCGTATGTTGGGCGTACCAAAGGGTATGTGTTGCGCATATGTGGTCAGCCCCTCGATGTTGGCCAACCATGTAGTATGCCCCGCGTACGTGTTGAGTACACCCAGCGTACTCACCAAGTTGACCTGGTTGTCTCGGTTAACTTTGACCTGGATTTTGACCAAAGTTTGACCTAGGGGTATTTTGGGTATTTGATCTGTATTTTAAGTTTCGGTAACTGTATTTATAAAGGTGAGTGGTAGAGTTGATTTCAGAGTTACGTGTTGTTTCAGCTTCTCATCTGTCTGTAAGGTGAGTTTTTTCAGTGTATCCATGGGTCGAATGCACCAATATCGGCCCATTGTTGTGTTATTTAGGATGATAGTTGTTATGTGGCTTATATGTGTTTGTATGATGGGTTGAAAT